AAACCAAGTGCTAAAAGCCGTGAGCGGAGCAGCTGTGCGCCGAACCGAGATATAGATGTTCCCGTAATTCCTTTTCTGGTGACAGCCATGGCGGAAGGAGGCTCCTGTCGAGCATGGAAAATCAGGTGACGTTAGCGAAGGTGAACCCGAGGGTGCCTCCGGCGAGCGGCAGCTCACCAAGCCAGCCGAGAAAGGCGGTGGTGTGGCGATCTTGGCGAACCACGTGAGGTGATGGCGATCTTGCATGCTATTGTTTTGTTTCTTAAATAATTTCATTTTTCTTTTTCTTTTTTCTAAAAAATATAAGAAATTCCTTAAATGCCCTTACAAATCAGCTTTTTTTAGTGAAAACGACTTTCAAATCCAGTTTAGGGGGCAATTTGACAAACCCGTATAGTTCAGGTGGTGGTTTGTAAAAAAAGTAGTTCATATGGTGATGCGCGAACATCGTTATAGTTCGAATGGAAAAAAGTTTTTTACTCTAAAATTTATTCGAAAGAGTCGCACATTCAAAGTTTAATTTATCATGTAACCATAAAAGAGTTCATAAGATTTGTATTCTCATAATATGATAGAGGTTGAGAGTAGCTTTTTATATAAACTTTATTACAACACAATGATGGAACTAATTTTTTTATTGTTTAAACAACTCACATTGCATATGTCCAAACACTTGAAGGTTATAGTTGTTCGGGAGTGGGATTGTAGTGTTTTGTTGTGGGGTTGTTTTTAATTAGGTGTCTTGTTATTTTGGTTTGTGTTTGGTGTTGGTACGTATTCTCTTGAGGGGGGAGCGTGCTTTCTCTCGTAGGAGATCGTGTATTCTCCCATAGGGGAGTGTGTATTCTCCCTTTGGGGAGCGGGTATTCTCCATTAGTGGAGCCTTTAGTTTTTGTGTGGTGTTTGTATTGTTTGTGTATTAGGCTATCGCTTGGCGGTAGGCCTTCCTTTTTTTGGCTAGTTAGCCGGTTGTAATTACGTGTTTTTATCTATGAATCTATCGTTCTGAAAAAAAAAAACTAGTCGTGACCCGTGCGATGCACGAAAAAATATATTTATAGTGAAATATGTAAAATTTGAAGGATATGAAACTATGGAAGAGTGACTATACATACGACAATAATACACAACTCGACAATAACATGAAAAAGTCATTAACATATATTATTGATAATCTCTTTATATACAATATTTTTTAATTGATTTGTGGGAGAGTTATCGTCACCACAAACTAATATTATTAAGCCGTTTCAATTGGTGACACGGGAGCAACGTGTAACTAGTCCTTCAAAATCAAACCAACATGGGATAATGATTGTCTGTGGCTCTTATTTATAGTCATTTTAGCATAAGAAACCATAATTGGAAACTGCCGCTCCTTGATATGTTTGTTTCCCATAGAATTATGTTGATAATGTTTGTTTTCATAGAATTAGAAAACTAACCATGTATATTTTCAAAAAGTCCCTATATATTTTGGATAGTAATATCGAATGCAAAAAAAAAAAAAAAAAAA